AGTTTTTTCCTTTTCACAGTAGTGTTATTGTTGATGGTTACCTAATTTGTGTTACCTCTTAGTTTCTCTAACAATTGGAATCTGGTAGGTTCCTTATGCAGCTGCTATGTGCTCTCTTCGGGCTGTATTTGCAACACCTTGTGTGAGTTCTATATATCTTATCACCAACTCAGTCATGTGTAGTGACTAGTTTGAAGCTCATATTTAATGAATAGAGGATCTAAAAAATGTGCAGTTATGGAGCATTACATCTAAACAAGTTGGCCCCAATGAGCAGGTAAATCCTGAAAAGTGGCTGTTTTGGGTTGATCAACCATCGTGTTATAAGGTTGATCAACCATCATGTTATCGATCTTTCTCTTGTTATAATTAAAAAAATTAAAATTTTTATTTTATTCTATTGATTAATTAGATTGTTTGATGAATTATAATTCTGAGTTTCTAATATTCGGTGTTTTGATTGTGTTGTTATGTCTCTTTTAGGATGCATGGTTTGGAATTGTTTGCTTTTTAAATTTGTGGGTTGCGTTTGTTTTCTCTTTTGAAATTTTTGAAATTAGTTTTCGGTCAACTTTCGGCATACCAAAACCGTCCATTACACGAAGAAGTGAGAAAGTGAGATAGTGTAGGGTGAAGTAGAAAGTGAGGTGAAGAGCATGGCGAAAGAATGAAGTAGAACGGTGAAGAATCGAGAAATATATGAAGTCCGAAAGATGGCTTGAAGAAAAGTCGAAAACGAGAAGAAAAATCTTCTCTTTTTTTTTATCGACTTTCGGAGCTCCAATAGCATGCAAAAAGAGAAAGAATGAGACGTGTGAGATGTGATACGAAAACTAGACCGTGAGTTAAATCCAACGACATAAAAATAAGGCGAAACGGAGTTGTGACGAAGGAGATAGAAGGGCTTGAAGTGGTGGTTGCCAATGGTGGTTTGCTGGTAGGAAAAGGGTGGGTTTGCATCTTTGTTTTGAAATTTGGGGCCAAAATGTAATTTTTTTAACTTTTTCCGTTTCAAATTTGACGGCAAGGGCAAAATTGATAGTAACTTAAATAGTATAGGGGTACGCATGAAAATAATAGTCTAGGGGGTCATTGAAAATTGTGACAAAGTATAAGGATAAAAATGAAATAATCTCTAATTAATATCTAAATAATGGTTTCTCACTATTCTTTGAGCTCTTGTATAATATAATACTAAAAATAAGAAAGAAAAAAAGAAAAAGAAAAATTCAACATATCCTTCCCATACCCGTATCCAATTTTATTAGATTTTATTGTATGGCCGTATCCGTATCGTTTTGTATCTGTATCCCGTACCTGTATCCCGTATCAATATCCTTACTTCATAGGTTGTTGGATATGGTCCAAAACATGCTTTGGGCAACATAAAAAATAGTAAAAAACATAATAAACAAAGATAGAGAAAGTATACCAAACCAAGCCAAGTCTTAAGTCCTATTAAATGAGGTCGGCTACATGAATCCTTCTCCTCCACTCGACTCTATCAAAGGCCATTTCGCTAATCAAATTAAGGAGATTCATATTTCTATTTACTACACTATCCCACATCAATTTAGGTTTACCCCGTGTCCCCTAACACTTCCATCTACCGCCACTGCATCATATCTCTTCACTACTGCCTTCATTGATCTTCGTTCTATATAACCAAACCATCTCAATCTATTCTCTCTCAACTTAGCTTCTATCGGTGCTACTCCTACCCATTCTCGAATATACTCATTCCTAATTCTATCTTTCCTAGTCTTGCCACACATCTACCTTAGCATCCTCGTCTCATCAACACTCATCTTATCTACATGTTGTTTCTTAGTTGCCCAACATTTCGTCCCATACAACATTGCGAGTCTAATAGCCGTTCTATAGAACTTTCCTTTTAGTCTAGTGGGTATTCATTTATCTCATAGTACCCCAGATGCACTCCTTTACTTAAGCCACCCCGCCTTAATTCTATGGTCCACATCCACTCCAATCTCCCTAGCCATTGTGATAATCAATCCTAAATAACGAAAATGTTCACTCTTAGGTAGTTTTTGGTTCTCAATCTTCACTTCTTCTCTACTTCTATTGTTACTGTTACTAAAATTACACTCCATGTACTCTGTCTTAGTTCTGCTTATCCTAAAACCTTTAAATTGAAGTGTTTCTCTCCAAGTCTCTAACTTAGTGTTGACTCCTCTAATCTCGTCCACTAATACGATATCATTTGCAAAAAACATACACCACGGCACATCATCTTAAATATTTTTCGTCAACACATCCATAACTAAAGTAGAAAGATAAGGACTTAAGGTTGATCCTTGGTATAACCCTACAGTAATTGGAAATTCATTTGTCTCTCCAGCAGGCAATCTAATAGTGGTCACCACATTGCCACACATGTCCCTAATCACATCAATGTAACTTTTTGTCGTCCCTTTCTTCTCTAACACCCACCATATTATATTCCAAGGCACTCTATTATATGCTTTCTCAAGATTGATAAAAACCCTATGAATGTCTCTTTTCTTTCCTTAATACTTTTCTATTATTCTCCTCTAAAGATAGATCAATTCCATTGTTGACCTACCAAGTATAAACCTAAATTGATTCTCTAACACCTCTATTATATCTCGCAATCGACATTCCAGCACTCTCTCTCACACTTTCATTATATGATACATTAACTTGATTCCTCTATAATTATTACAATTCTGGACATCTTCTTCATTCTTATAGATTGGCACTAAAATATTCTTCCTCTACTCCTCTGGCATTTTCCTATTCAACAAAATCTTGCTAAATAACCTAGCCAATCAAGCAAACCCTTTCTTACCCAAACATTTCCAAGCTTCAATAGGGATATCATCGGGTCCTAAAGTCTTATTCGATTTCATTTTCTTAATTGCAACCTCCACTTCAAAATTCCTAATCCTGCGATAGAACTTATAGTATTTTTAATTTCATCTTCTTAAGAGTAATCTCCACTTCAAAGTTCCTAATCATGCAATAGAATCTGTAGTCTTGGTTTTCCTTATTACTGGCTACTTCCTCCCTTATTGACCTACCTCTATGTTAAAAAAAAAAAAGACACAGAAAGTGTGATTGGAAAAATGGAAAATTGTGTTTTAGTGGGACCAACTCAAAATAATTACAACTTTCATGAAGATACAAGTTGGTCTTAGTCCAGTATCAGTGAAAGTTGTGGCATAGAACACAACTCCCACTTGCACCTCCACAAAAATGCACTTTTTTTGAGTTGTTTCAACTTAGATGCCATTTCGCTAAGAAAAATTGATCTGGGACATATGACATCTTTTTAACAAGTCTTTAAAAGAGCATAATCCTAATGGTCCTTTATACCAATGTAGAGTAGGGAAGAACTCATGTTTTCTTTTTCTTTTTTTAATTTTATTTTATAAATAAGAGTAACTTTATTAGAAAAAGAGCATCAAGACGATACCAACAAAAACAATCCACACCAAGAAAATTACATCTCAACCAATTAAGAATCAACAAAAATCAATAAGGAAAATAAATTCAGCTCAACCCTCCCCAACACCCAACAGGACGACACCACCAACAACAAGAACTCATGTTTTTCTTTTCAAGGATTCTCCCAAGAAATAGTTTCAACAAAATCTTTCAATTTCTTAAGACTTACTAAGTTGAATTCTTTATATTTCTCTAAAACAGAGTATGTTAAATGTAATAAATGGCTATAACCAAATTCCCATAACAAGCCCAGATGCTCAAGTACCATCTTAATGAAAGCATTTCCTTTCCCACTAATATTTCGTTAGAGTGGTCAACACCATAAATATCTGACGTATCAAAGAAAGTAATTCCTTTACTGAATGCATACTTGATTATTGCAATGCCATCCTCATCAGAGACAAGAGCATTGTAAGCTCCACTAAGCCCCATACAGCCATAACCCAATTTTGAGACCAAAGAAAAAGAAGAAGAAAAAAAGATTCCAAATTCAAAAAACGAATGAGAAACAAAAATACATTGACAAAACGTTTCTAACACTCACACCTAGCCTTCCTAACTAGTTGGCAAAGGATTTGACTCCCCCCCCCGCCCCCCCCCCCCCCCCCCCCAAGAAAAAAATTCCAATTCCTATTAAAAGACACAACTTAAGTTCTAAATACAGCTAAAGGTCACCAACTTTTATCATCGCAAACATGGAAAGATGTATATAACTTTCTTCATAATATAATTTATTCCAAACATGGAACTAATCACAAGCATCTAACTAGGCAATTACATAAAACAGCAACAAAAATCTGGTGACATAAACCATTTTGTTTTTAAAAATACTAGCAAACAAAAACAAAAATGTTAAAGTGTTATTGTTATCTAAGGGTAGTTTAGTACTTTAGCTTAAATATGTATGCTTACGTTGTAACCCTATCATCATTGAAATAATATTATAGCAGATGCTTCTCTCTCTCTTTCTCTCTCGGTTCATTCTTCTTCCTCTTCTTCTTCATCTGTGAAGTTAACATGGTATCAGAGCCTCCTCTTCCTCCTCGAAGAATTTTTCCTGGTCTTTCTTTACTTTCCTCTTGTTTTTTTTCATTTTTTGTGTACAAAAAAAAAAAAAAAAAAAAAAATTCCCTTTCCCCTCCCCTATGCTCGAAATTTGATGGGCTTCCTCTATATGATTTTATTTAAATTTTTTGTTCATTGTTTGGTTGTTTTTCGATTTTTGGTTGATTTTTTGGGAAAATGATTGATTTTTCAAAACTCCTTGCTCCAGCCTTTTTAGGGCTGATTTTTCCCTTCTTCTCTTCTCCTTGGGAGCCGACTGGACCAATGTGGTAGGTTAGGAGTCCTACTTTGATGATTTCTTGAGGTTTCTGTAGTTGATTAGTCCTTCACTTGCTCTATCTGGCTTGTTTTGGTGTGGGTTTGCTTTGTTTTCACCCATATCGGTGCATTGCTGTCTCAGTTGATTGTTTTTTGATTTGTTTGATACCTTGCTCTATTTTCCTATGGCTGGGTTCGAGCACCAAACTTGTAAGGGCCTTGAGGAGAAGGGATTGAGTCATGGTGTGACTATTGGTGATAGTCCTCTTCAAATTAGTCATGTTAAGCTTGATAGTACCAACTACTTGATTTGGTTCCGCTCCTGTAGTCTTGCTATCGCTGCTTGTCATTTGACTGGATATATTGATGGTACCCTCAAGCAACCCGCTGATGATGGTGATTTGTGTACTCAATGGATTTTCGAGAATGCTTTGGTTATGACCTGGTTGATCAATTCCATACAGCCTACACTTAGTCAGACTTTCCTTTTGTTGGACACTATTCATAAGATTTGGATAGTTGTGGCTGTGGCACGGATGTATTCTAAAAAAGGTAGTGATGCACAGGCCTATGAGTTGCGGAAGAAAGTTTGGGGCTTAGATCAGAAGGATCGCTCACTTGTGGTGTATTATGCTGAGTTTAGTGGCTTGTGGTAGGAATTGGATTATTACTAGAGCAAAGCTTTCAAGCTGTTTGTTCTCAGGATGCCTTTTTGTTTCAGCAGGCTATCGAGAAAGAACGTGTTCATGATTTCCTTGCCTAGTCCGCCTCAATTTGGTAGCAAGGTTCCATCGGCTGATCAGGATTGCTTGAAGTGTGATTACTGTGGGAAGGACAGACATGACCGGGCACATTGTTGGAAGTTGAATGGTCGTCCTTCTCGAGGCCATGGTCGTGGTGGTGAAGTTCGTCCTCAAGCACGTGTCTGAGATTACTGCTAGCACCCCTACGGACACTGGTACTATTTCACAGGATGAGCTACACACTCTTAGGCGTTTGATGGCTCAGCTGGATTCTACCACAACCTCTTCTTCTTCTGCTTTTTCCAACTTTGCTTACACAGGTATTCCTGCTAGTGCACTCAGTACATCCTCATAATCTCCTTGGATTATTGATTCCAATGCTACCGACGACATGACAGGTGCCTCAAGTCTTTTTTATTCATATTCTCCTTGTTCTGGGCGAGATAAGGTTAGAGTGGCAAATGGCACTTCATCCTCTATCTCCGGTAAGGGTTCGGTTCTTTGTTCCTCTTTATTGTCTCTTTCATCTGTGCTTCATGTTCTTAATTTTTCTACTTACTCTCTGTTAGTAGTCTTACTACCTCTCTAAATTGCTCCGTGACCTTTTTTCCTACTCATTGTGTCTTTCAGGAACTGGCTACGAGGAAAATGATTGGCGGTGGTAGAGCACAAGATAGACTGTAATTTCTGGATGCTGTTCCTTCTGCCTTTTTGTCATCTCAAGCTCTCAAGTGCACTATTGGCTCCTCTCTTCATCTTCTCCATCAATGGCATCGTCGTTTAGGTCATCCGTTCTTTAGTGTTTTAGAGAAACTTTTCCCTTCTTTAGTTCGTGATTGTCCTAGGCATAATTTTGGTTGTGATGCTTGTGAACTTGCAAAGCATGAACATACTTGTTATCCTTCCATTAATAAAAGTACTTTTCTTTTTATGCTTATTCACACCGATGTGTGGGGCCCCTCTCCTGTGATTTCTACTTCTGGGTATCAGTGGTTTGTTACTTTTATTGATTGTTATTCCTGTGTGACTTGGATTTACTTGCTTCGAACTAAAAGTGAAGTGTTTTCTTGTTTTCAAATTCTTCAGAGTGATAATGAGACTGCGTATGTTGATAGAGCTTTTCAGGCATACCTAGAGGAGTAAGGCATCCTTTATCAGACTAGTTGTATTGGCACTCCTTAACAAAGTGGAGTTGAACGCAAGAATGGCCATCTTCTTGAAATTGTTTGCTCTCTTTTATTTACCATGAATGTCCCTCAGTCTTTTTAGGGTGACGTCGTTTTTACCGCTGCTTACCTTATTAACCGTACGCCTTCTAGTGTCCTCCAATTTCAAATTCCTCTCGAACTTCTACCTATCACTTATCCCACCCCTTCTCTTCCTCTTTAGGTTTTTGGGTGTGTCTGTTTTGTTCATCTCCAACCTCGTGCTCGTGGCACACTTGATCCTAAGGTTGTGCGTTGTGTCTTTATTGGCTATTCTGCTACTTAGAAGGCTTACAAATGCTATGATCCATACACTCGTAAATTGTATGTTAGTATGGATGTCACCTTCTGTGAATCTGAGTCCTTTTTTATTTCTTCTCCTCCATCTCCTCAGGGGGAGCGTGTTACGGATGAGATTGCGGATGAGTCATACCAACATGAGTTATCTTTTTTCCTTCCCAGTCAGCAGTCTATTATTTGTGGTGAGGGGAAGCCTAATAGTTCTCTTGATCTTAAGACTTACTCACGACATTAGAAAGAACAGACTCCTCTTGTGCCACCAGGTCAATCATCATCCCTTGTGCCAGCTCTACATCATGTTTCAGCTTATTCTCCAGGTAATGACCCTCCGTCTACTTCTCCATCAGTAGTTAATAGTCCTATTGTTGATGATTTGAGTCTTCCAATTGCTCTTAGAAAGGGGGTTAGGGCTTATACTCAACACCCCATTTCTAAATTTGTGTCATATGATTCATTGTCTCCTACATATTTTGCTTGTGTTTCGTCTCTGTCTTCTGTGTGTATCCCATAGGGTTGGAAAGAAGCTATCAATGATCCTAAGTGGAAAGTAGCTATGGTAGAGGAGATACAAACTCTGAGCAAGAATAACACTTGGGAGTTGTTTCCTCTTCCTAGTGGAAAAAAACTAGTAGGGTGTAAGTGGGTGTTTACCATTAAGCAGAAAGCAGATGGGACAATTGAACGGTACAAAGCAAGATTAGTGGCCAAGAGGTTTACCCAGATGTATGGAATTGATTATCAAGAAACCTTTACTCCTGTTGCAAAGATAAATTATATTCGAGCTCTTCTTTCTTGTGCTGCCAACTTGGGATGGTCTTTACAACAACTGGATGTAAAGAATGCCTTTCTCCATGGTGACTTGGAGGAGGAGGTGTATATGGATGTAAAACCAGAATTCTCATCTCAGTCTACAGTTGGCAAAGTTTGAAGGTTGAAGAAGGCTCTATATGGTTTGAAACAATCTCCCCGAGCTAGGTTTGACCGATTTCTAAAGGCCATGTTGAGATTTGGGTATAAGTAGAGTAATGCAAATCATACCATGTTTGTCAAACACAATGCAAATAAGGTTGTTGTACTTATTGTATATGTGGATAACATAGTAGTGACAGGAAATTATGAGGAGGAAGTGACGCATCTCAAGAGGCAATTGGCCAAGAAATTTGAGATCAAAGATCTTGGCCCTTTGAGATACTTTCTTGGAATTGAAGTTGCTAGATTTGACAAAGACATCTTTATTTCTCAAAGGAAGTATGTTCTAGATCTTCTTGGAAAAACTAGCATGTTGGATTGCAAACCTTCTGATTCGCCCATTGAAGCTAACCATCGTCTCTGCAGTGGTGTTGGTGATAAAGATAGGTACCAAAGACTTGTGGGAAGACTTATATATTTATCCCATACTCGTCTCGATATTGCTCATGCAGTCGGAATAGTGAGTCAATTCATGCATGATCCTCAACATATTTAGATGCAGCATATTGCATTTTGAGGTACCTTAAATCGGCTCCGGGAAAAGGGATTCTGTTTTCAAATCATGGCCACTTTAGAGGTCTTCACGGATGCATATTGGGCTAGTTTTATAGATGACAGGCGATTTACTTCTGGTTACTGCGCTTTTGTGGGGGGCAAATTTGGTTACCTAGCATAGTAAGAAGCAAGCAGTTATGTTCAGGTCTAGTGCAGAAGCAGAATATAGAGCTATAGCACATGGTACATGTGAACTTATGTGGCTTCAATCCTTGTTGGGCGATATAGGAATCATTTGTGATGGACCCGTGACTTTGTATTGTGACAACAAAGCTACTATCAGACATTTAAATCGACAGACATTTTATTAAGGAGAAATTGACTAGGGGTCTGATATATATGCCTTATGTGAAGTCGAAAGATCAATTGGCTGACATATTTACTAAAGGTCTTAGCAATAAGGTCTTCCATCCTATTTGTTGCAACTTGGGCATGAGAGATATATTTGCACCCACTTGATGGAGAGTGTTAAGTGTTATTGTTATCTAAGGGTAGTTTAGTACTTTAGCTTATTTTTATGTTTATTAACTTAAATATGTATGCTTAAGTTGTAACCCTATTATCATTGAAATGATATTAGAGCAGCGCCTTCTCTTTTTCTTTCTCGGTTCATTCTTCTTCCTCTTCTTCTTCATCTATGAAGCTAACAAAAAACAACCTTAACCTGTTATCATAGCCTATGAAGCATGGATACTTCCATATCGAAATTGTATTGGATACCAATACTCTTTGGATACTCACAAATGCTTATCCAATACTTCCCAAAAATATCCCAATTAAAGTTTATTTGTCTTTAATTTTAGAATCAAAGTATCATATATGTTCAAGATACTCCAAGTATTCAACATATTTTGACAATAAGATGTGACATTTCTTGTGTAATGTTAGAGTATAATTGTTAGAATAAATGTAAGACTAGTTTCTTCAAAAACTTTGCGTACTAGACCGGAAAAATTGAGAAACAGTAAAATTAAAGCATGTCAACTTTTGTCGAAATTTGCGTCCTCATAACATAACCTTAATCTTTTTTTACATGAATACGTTATAAAACTGAAATAAAGAATATTTAACTGATATTCAAATACATAATTAGTAATAAATATGTTATGACAAAATTACTTTTATATTTATACACATACATACATACAAGATATATATATATATATATATAGGTTTAGTGTAGTTTTCAAACCCAATCCAACTTGTTCTTGAATGTTGTCAAATCAAAGTGCAAAACAGATTCAACGCCCTGGTCTCAATCAATAGTAGACCAATCTGTGAGGAATGCTGATGGGCTACCATTGGACCACGGCTGCTCATCCTCGGAATTTGAAAATAAAACAAAGACAGAATGGAATCACTTTGTTTCAGTGACATATATAATCAGACTGAATAGGATTTGAAGAGCTGTCAGGATCATTCACATCAATTTCAGCAGGCAGGAAGGGTGTGGAAGCTACCGTTTCTAGAATGCAA